AAGGCTCGGGGAGTGGCTCCCTAAAATAACCAACTGCTTCGGTTTGGGCACCCGGGCAGTATCACAGCCCACACACAAATGATGAACTCTTTATGTTGACAAAATAAGCCTGAGTGGGACACCATGTTTGTGAATCTTTGGCAGGCCATAACATATGCGGTAGATTGGAAGTCAGATTCTATGAACACTAATCCATTACTTGTAACCTACGTGTCCTAGATGGCCTTTTTCTCATTTAGACTTTGCCCTGGAATTTCATTAATATCATCCTGTGACATCTTCGTCGGGTCTTGCTGGCGTTGGTGTCGCACTAAGCGCTAGAGCTGAGGCAGCACTAGTCGATTGGATCCCCATTAACAGTCGGTTATGTGCTGTTAGATTAGAAAGTTCCATCAAAGTGAGAAGAAATCGGCGTGAGAAACGATGTCTTTTCGTCATCTCCGCCTATGCCCCGACAGATTGCAGCCCGGATGCAATCAAGGATGAGTTTTACCACCAGTTATCAGTTCTTCTCCAGAAAGTGCGTTCGACAGATATTGTAGTACTAGCCGGAGACTTGAATGCTCAGGTCGGGCGTCTAGGCACAGAAGAGAGTCGTTTAGGTGGCCGATGGGGACTCGTTGGTCGCAGGTCAGATAACGGGGACCGTCTACTGCAACTTTGCACAGACCACAACCTGTTTCTGGCTAGCACTAACTTTCGGCACAGTCATCGCCGATGTGCCACCTGGCGTCCTCCCTCTGCATCTCAAGCCTGGACTCAGATTGATCACATCGCGATCAGCTACCGCTGGCGTGGTTGTGTACAAGACTGCCGCTCCTTTTGGAGTACCTATCTGGACTCTGACCATGCCTTGGTCTGCGCCAATCTTGCCTTACTTTTCAGTGGACAACGAAGTGACCGCCATCAACGGATTGATGTTAGCAAGCTGGTTGCAACTTCTGTTGCAAGTAAGTATCGAACCGAGCTAGCCTCTAGGCTAGCTACCACTCCACCGAAAAGTATAGATGAGCATTGGTTGCAATTGCATGACGCCATGAAAATGGCGGGAACAGTCAGTTGTGGGTTTGCGAAACGTCCCGCTTTTAAGCACTGGGTTTCTTCTGGTTCCTTACAACTCATTGAAGCCCGTCGGTCTACTCCGGGTGACCGTGAGTTTGACCATAAACGAAGGATGTTACGTAAGGAAATTGGGCAAAGCTTGCGTAAGGACCGAGAAGCCTGGTGGTCGAAGCGTGCTAATGAGCTGGAAGCAGCAGCTGCATCTGGTAACTACCGGAAGCTCTTCCAGCTCATCCGAGCCACTGGCAGCAAGAAGTCTGGTGTGAGTGAAACAATCTGCGAGGATGATGGGATGCCAATCACTAACATCCATCGACGTCTTGGACGATGGGCAGAATTTTTCGAAGGGCAGTTCAACTGGCCTGCTGCTCCGGCAACATCGGTCAGACTGTCCTGCCCTCCATGGCCGGTGACGACTGATCCACCAAACGAGGAGGAAGTCCGCAAGGAACTCCAACTCTTGAAGCGTTACAAATCACCTGGCCCAGATGACTTACCTCCGGCTCTTTTTAAAGATGGTGGTGACTTTTTGACTAAGGAATTGACGACGTTGTTTACAAAGGTTTGGGAACTAGAGAGTGTACCAACGTCATGGAATGAGTCGATAGTTGTCCCTATCTTTAAAAAGGGTTCACGTCGTTCCTGTAACAACTATCGGGGGATAAGTCTACTTCCGATTGCGTCCAAGCTATTGGCTTCCGTCATACTTCGTAGGTTGTTCAAAACCCGAGAAAGATTGACTCGCGAGGAGCAGGCTGGGTTTCGTTCTGGTCGAGGATGTATTGATCATATCTTCACCCTCCGCCAAATGTTAGAACACCGCCATACTTTCAAAGGCCAACAATCGTAGTGTTTCTTGACATCAGGGCTGCCTTCGATTCGTTGGACAGGACTGTTCTCTGGGATTGTCTATTGAAGAAGGGTGTGCCTGAGAAGTTTATTAACATCCTAAAAGCCCTATATAAAACACCTCAGGCAGAGTGAGGGCATACAACCACCTCTCTCCATTGTTCCATTCGAGCAGTGGGGTTAGGCAGGGTTGCCCAATCTCACCATTCCTCTTCAACTTTGCCATCGATGACATTCTGGAAACAGCTCTGATGAATGTAAGTAATGGTGGTGTGGATCTGTTGCCTGGAGAAAGACTTCTCGACCTTGAGTATGCGGACGATATTGTCTTACTGTGCGATAATGCCCAAGGCATGCAATCCGCACTTAATCAGTTGGCAATCAGTGTCCGTAGGTATGGTATGTGCTTTGCACCTTCGAAGTGCAAAGTACTTCTACAAGACTGGCAGGATTCTAATCCTGTACTCACCCTGGATGGTGAGCAGATAGACGTAGTCGAGAAGTTCGTGTATCTGGGTAGCTGCATAAGTGCTGGTGGGGGTGTGAGTGATGAGATCAATGCACGAATAGTGAAAGCCAGAGCGGCTTATGCCAATCTGGGCCACCTTTGGCGCCTTCGTGATGTTAGTCTGGCTGTAAAAGGTCGGATCTACAACGCGTCGGTGAGAGCAGTTTTGCTCTATGCTTGTGAAACCTGGCCTCTCCGAGTTGAGGACGTTAGACGACTCTCTGTGTTCGATCATCGCTGTCTCCGAAGGATTGCTGACATTCAGTGGCAACACCATGTCAGTAATGCAGAGGTTCGGCATCGTGTGTTCGGGCACAGAGATGATAATTCAATTGGTGTCACCATCTTGAAACACCGACTTCGGTGGCTTGGACATGTTCTCCGAATGTCGTCCCAGAGAATTCCACGTCGTGCATTATTTGCCGACTCTGGGACTGGTTGGAAGAAGCGGAGAGGTGGTCAGTGCATGACATGGTGTCGTGGCATGAAAGAAAGCTGCAAAGGACTGGCTTGTGTTGGTCCTTCACGACTCCCTGGTTGGGGTCCGAGAGATGGTGCTACACAGTGGCTAGAGACGTTATCAGATATGGCTCAGAATAGAAGCCAGTGGCGATCCTGCTGTAACCTTCTTTTACTTTCTTCATAAAAAGTGGTTGTGTCTCCTTACCTGAAAGATTTCTTCTGATTGTACCTTTCGTTCCCTCGTTACTACCACACTACCTTACACCAATCTCTTCGTTATTGTTCTCTTTTTTTTTGCGCTCCTTAGTTTTTTTTTCTATTTCTCTTCGAATTCTCATTGTTTTGTGTGGCGCATATATATTGGCGCTCTCTTGTACCAATATTCATGTGTTCAAATAAATAATAATTCGATTAGTATTAGTCAGAAAGGGCTTTTCATTGCATCGCCATTCCGAATTTCTAGACCGCACACAGTAAGTTGATTTCAATCCCCAGAACCTCTATTCCTAGTATCTCACTCCTTAGAACACCAACAAAACCTATCTAGCACGTAATATTAAGAATTAATCCAAGTTGGAAATATAAGCCAGTTTTCTGAAGTTTAAGCGCTCCCTGAAAAATTTGAGTTCAGTCCTTGAATTGTCATGTGTTCCCTTCACTAAGAACCCACACAAGTGAGAAACTTGTCCCGCCGTTTCTCAATTGTGTCTCTGCTAATATCAGTCCGTGAAGAAAACCACTACACATCCTTATTTTGTCTACTTACACCTCTAGGTCCTTTTCTGTTTGACTTTCAGTAGCATTTTGCTTACAAGGATAACTTGTTTTATGACATTTCGATTCATTTGGGATGATTTGTATTATGCAAAAACCTTGCGGATCTGCTTTTGAGTGGTGGAGCAATTAGGGCTCTGAAAGTACTATAATTCAGAATATTCCAATGGATTCTTAACAAGAGCCTCATGGTGCTGCTAAGGTGTCATATTTTCAGCATGTTTGAGTAGTATACTTATCTCCCGAGGACCAACAATAAGTCCAACTATTGGAGTTGCAACAAACATTTCACGATTGGACTATGTACTGACTAATCGTACCTCGCTGAATTCCAGAAGTTAATTAGTGACTTTCTATCCTTAACGATAAGACTGGAGATAAACTTAAGATTTTTATGTCAAATAGTTGCTTAGTTGTAGAGAAGAATAATTAGTGTAAAATCCAGTGAAAAATAATACTATTGTTTTTACTGACTTCTAGTTCTGGGTGGTTCTACCAAAACTCTACGCTCACTAAGGTTCACTCCGTCTATACGAAATAACTGATAGTTACGTCTAGTGTCCGATTTTTATTCAAAAACTGAATAATATCCCAAATCATTTCTAATTGTTCAAACTTATCTATCAACCTGGTTGCAAAAGAAGTTGGTAATTCAAACTAGTCTCAAATATCTATGTCAATGCAAACTAACCAACCACAATGAAAAGGAAATTTGCAACATAAATGCTAACAAGAATAAGATGTTTTATTTATTGATGTAAAAGGAATAAAGGTTAAGGTGATAAAATGGAAAGTAAATTAATCTGTTTACAGTATTCAACAAGCAAACAGTAATGACACTGGTGAGGCATACGTATACGATATTATGCACTCGATATATAGAGGGATAAGTACCTGTATACACACATATTCAGGAGGAGCATTCAATAGCTTAAAACAGTACAATTGGGACAGACAGATGAAGTTTTCTCGAATAAATCGAAAGAAATGCTGCGAGAATAAAAATTGAGATATAAATTTTCATAAGTTTAAATAATTACGTTCAAAAGGACAACGCACCACAGAGGTCAAGGTACTGTACAAAATAACTATCTGCTTAAAGGCATATATATAACTAAGTAGTAATACGTAGCATTAAAATAGTTTGTACAAATATCAAAGAAAACAAAGCAGATTAGATAAACGGTACGATGAAACTCCTTAAATAAAAGGAAAACGAAGGGACAAAGGTTTCCATTCACGGGAATGTATATTTGTAGGAAGACTTACAAAACAGCACGTAGTTCGTGTATTATTATCATGAAAACTATATGGTGTCATTGAAGGGAAAAGAAGTAGCATTGATCTAATCAATCTTGTCTGGTCGTTTCATATGTATGTCTGCTCTTAGAGGATTCAAAGTGAGATCTAAGGAAGAGAAAAGACAGAGTTATGACATAATAGTTAGAAATGCTAAGTAGGTTGGTTTTAGAATAACTAATGTCTTTCTTTTATATATTACCACCATTGAATTAACTACTATGAATTCGGTGTTCATCTTGTACTAATGAGGTGTGGCATCTTGGGCCGATGTATATATGTGCCTGGTCCTACGTTGTAGCTGACTGAATTTCCTGATATATAAACCTCAGTGTTAACTAAATTCCATAAAACTATTACTCGGTAAGGTAGTGATTACTTAATTATGGAACATGATATACCGCTGCACTTCAAACAATGTATTTTTAAACTAATAACTCATGTGACTAAGTACAGTCTTTTGCAATCATCTCTGGATCACACGTTTATCGCGTAACACGACTACTCGGCTTTCGAAACCAAGGAAGGCGTGACGAGGTTTAATCATTTGATCGGATAATTAAAAGCTTACTGCTTTAGCGACTTAGCCACAGCGAAACTTAGATATGAACGTAGTTCATCTTTATTTTTCTGAACAGGAGTCAACACTATTTGGTCTATTCCACAGTCCAGACTTACTGCCTGTGATTCGTTTTTCAAAGCAATAGAATTAGGGACGTTGCTGCTAACTTAACAACAGAGTTTCGTTAGAACTAAGGAATAAATAGCGTGATATTTGATATTACCCAGTAAGTGGTATCTCTGAATACGTTACAGAATGAGGCCGGTCTGAATCTCGAAGTAGGCATATGCCTTTTCATGATTTCATATTCGCCTTGCTGTTCATTCCATTCATTCGTCTTTATGAAAATATAGAACTTTCACACTCAAATTTCCGGTATTTGGTAGTAACTGTTTTGTCAAGTGTAGTGGTTTCATAAGGAATAAAGAATATATACTAGCTATTGTTGTGTAATCTAATACTGGAGGCATATATGTACATCATTCCGAATGATTACCTTTTTTTGGAAAAGTATGATCGTATCGTCTTTTCTATGCTAACAATAATCAAGTTTTTAAAAATGTTTTATGAGATTTGCAGGATGATCATCGTCACAAACTGGTATATCAACTGGAGCACCGTAGATTTACTTGGTCCCATTTTCGGACCCCTCACTAGTGTACACTTATAATAATACATGAGATTGAGCTGAGAAGATTCAGATCTCGTGTTGAACTTGAATCCGATAGTAACTTTTGTGACTACCTTACGTGCAACTATTGATAATATTTCTATTATATAACTATTTGACACGGATTATAGCATTCTTATATTCTCCTGTCTGTAACCTTTTCATCTGGTTCATAAACTATTGTTGTGTTTTACTTTTCCTAAGTTGTTTTTAGTTAATAACGGACACCTCACTCAGTGTATATTTCACTTATGGCGTGGTCATGAACACATTGTATTTTCTCCATTTATGTTTACATTGTCAGGAATTTACTTTATATTATTGTGAGGTTTGAGTCGTAATGATAATCATACAATAGAGATCTTATCGACTTGTTGTGTTCTCTTATCGGACTAAATATGAGGGGGTAAGGAGAGAAAGCCACATCGACGACTATCTCGGCCACAGCTCAAGATAATTCGCTGTCATTCAAAGCACAGAACGTTAGTCAGCGAGAAGTAATGATTTGAATTCTGATTAGTGAATCAAGATTTCAATCCAACTTAATCATAACAAAAAGATATCCTAAAATTATATGAATCTCTATACAAGATACTTTGGTAAATGATAATCGTAAGGCCGGTAGTGATTGGTTTCGAGGTGGTTTGTTGGAGTTTGATGGAAAGCAATGAACTATGGGACAAAACCAATTCAGAAGTGGAACAGTAATTCATTAACGACGAGGATCGAAGATTGAATCACAACTCCCGTAGACTAAAGTAGGGATTCTGAACCATACATTCTTATTCAGTGGCCAGACTGTGTTGTAATTACATTCCTAATGGTCATGTTTACTGCTAAATCATGTATTACTTTTAACAGTTACTATGATTTTGGTGTAGTATATCATTATTTGACTATTTAATTGATGAACACTGTTATATTTTATAATTTTGACTGTTACCACTTATTCATTTTGTTGTAACCCCCAACAGTATTCGAAATAGATAAATTACCGAAGACTAAATTGTGGCTGCTTAAATTATAGCTCAGCATAGACTCCTGGGTCAATTATTATTACGGATAGCACTCTAATAATATATTTATAAGGAAAGATAAATTGTATGTCCCACCCATTATCACTTTGTGATGTATGGTGCATGATCAAAACAATCAGAAATTCGTTTTATATTGTTTACAGTAAAAACTTTAAATTCAATCTAAAATGCTCTTTGGAACTTACTGTGTAATATATCATCCATTAGACCGTCTGTATCCAGTTGACGAGTACGTGGCTTACGATGACGATTTTCACGTTTTGACGAGGATGGGATCTTTGTTCAACAGGGAATGAATGAAAAATGATAAAGTATGATACCGAATTTTTACCAAAACCTTTCTAAACTTCTATTGGCCAGAGATGTTGCTACACATTTTCCCTTATAAAACGCTTTTATATCAAGAATCATTTAGATGTTACCAAGCGTTAATAATATTGACACTACTAAACCTGAGAAAATGGACCAATCGCAATCCACAGAATGAGAAGTTCACATTGAGCCAATTGAAGTTCTCCTATTGCTAAGTGCAAGTAATAGGTCAAGAAATAGTTTTACATTCTAAGGAGTACATATACACGTACACACACAAATGAGTTTTAATTCATTTGATTCAGTTCGATCTGATAAGCTTCCTCCTTCGCTCTTAGTCTTCTCACTCAGTAGCCGCTCGGGTCTCGCACATAAATTTGTGTATAAGTATCAATCTTGAATACTGCAAGCCATAATAGAATCAACCTCTAGAATTCCGCAACGCTTAAACGAATGCCTGGAGAATGACTTCTCGACCTTAAGTATGCGGATGATATTGTCTTGCTGGGTGATGATACCAAAGACATGCAATTTGCACTCATTCAGTTGGCAATTAGTGTCCGTAAGTTCGGTATATGTTTTGCACCTTCTAAGTTCATGAAGTGTATCAAGACAATTTATTTTGATATTTTTAATACCGACTTGATTAATTATTATCAAATATATTGGACAATGAAAATATGTCAAAGAGACAGAACTGGTTGATAATGATTGTAAATAATTTCTCTAGAATATAATTTTTAAATCTTTACAACTACAGTGTATACTAAAAATGAATTTACTGCAATATTGCGTGTTTCGTGCCGAGAATCCTTCACTGAGTAAATGAATATTATATGAAAGTATTAGTAAAAATGTTAAGAGTGAGGCCTGATTGGTTGTTCTGTAGCCTACTGTTATATCCGAGTGGAGATTAAATTACAGGTAACTCCCGAGGACTATTAATGGACTAATATTCTATAAATATTCTTATTGTATAATTATTCAACAATTACATTACGTATATTTATATTCCTCTTATTGTAAGCTTTATTTTGACCTATAACTTATTATTGTCCGATTTACGGTTCTTAAGTTATGTTCAGCTTATTAACTACTGCCTCCCACATTCACAGCCACTTTTTGGGCTTATTTGTGTACAAATATTATTTCCTATTTTATGGTACGTTGCGGTCTGTGTGATTGATATATAAACCAAGTATGCCCGAAATAAACGATCTGCTCTGATTCGGAAACTGGTATCTTGTTCTGGACTCAAGTGGAAGGGCTCGGAGGACATAGGACCAGTAAGGACGCTAGACTGCCCGCACCGGTTGAACGTCATTGGTTGGCCTAGTGTAAAGATCCGTATAAGTCGTATCCGGATTGGTCGATAGGTCGCGTGGTAGCAAAACAACACATCCAAGGTCATAACAATTGGCGACGGGGATTTTGGCAAAAACAAAATAATTGGGAGACGCAAGGTCATAACACCTACATATTTCCATTCTCGATTAGTTTTAATGGTTACATGATGAGTCTTATTATCTTGGTTGAAACTTGTTTCTATCTATGACAGTTTAATTATGATAATAACTTATTTAATATGGTCTCGAGTCACGGTCTAACTGTGAAGGTTACTGATACTGCTTGGGTGCCGGAAGTAGGGGAGGGCGGGGATCGAATGTTCGACTCAGTGACGAAAAGTCGAACCACTGAATCATCTCTCCACTGCTCTAATAGTAAATTGATTTAATTAACTAGGAATCCTATTTTACATAGTTTATTCACAGTTGGAGAACTTGTAAATTGGTTGTACGAAACAACCGATTCATTCAGTGTCAGTAAAAGTATTTAAATAAATTTTGTCAATTATATCAGAAGTTGATTGTGCCATAGTAACCTTTTTGTAAAAGAAAAATAACAACAAGAAAGGTGGAATTATTTTTCCAATGGAAAATGAAAACAGAATTAAATTTAATACCTTTTCTTGTTCTTTCAAATGTTTTTGACTGTGACGATGATGTGAATGACTAGAAGATTGAGTATCGTGTATATTTAATGAGGAATTTCGTGAATGACGTGACTTTTTATCGAAATCATTGACACAATTCTAAAAATAAATCAGTAACAGTATCAATATTATTTATTTGTTTATGAACTATGAATCTTTCTATTACAAGCATATAAACATAAAATTGCTTCAAAGAAATATTTCCATATGTCTCGACAAATCGATTGCAACTAATGGGATTCTGTTAAATTATCTAAATTCTAAATAACTCACAGAATTTTTATGGTTTACGATGTCGATTATAAATTAGGGAAAAACAAAGTGAGTGACATGTCTTAGACTGTGTATGAAATAAACTTACGGAATACAATTAAGACTTCTTAAATTGTTTTTAATAACATTAATTTGATGTGTGCATCAGTTGTTTGATATTACTGATTTACCTCTTAGATTTGAAGCAAACTATGAGAATTTAATTTTGCACCTCATAGTTTGTCGGTATGCAGTTTCTGCAATTACACTTGCACACAGTAGCTATCTCTAATAATTTTGAGAACTGAAGTGACTAAAGAATGACATCAATGGAAAAATTGTTAGAAGAGTAAATCTCTGGTATGTCTTGTACTTGTAAGTTTTGATATTGGATTCCTAACCGCTTCCTAGTCCACATAAATCTACTTTTAAGCTCCAAACAGAAAACAAAAGGAGGAAGGATAAGAAAAGCTTCAACGAAAAGTTAATTCGTTTACAGACAAAAAGGGTATTTTATAGTATCAAATGTGATCTAAAAGGTTGTGAAGAACATGTTAAACGAATTGGGCAATCGTTCGATCGGATCATGATAATATAATTCGTCCTTTTACAGAATTCATTCAAAAGTTCCCCAAGAATCCTGATTGTTTGAAATTCACCATTTTCCCGACTTTTAAAGATATTTTTGGGGAATTATTGATGGCTTCGAACAAATTTCTAATTATTTAGCAGAATAACTGATTTTCACCTAATCACTGTTGACAAATGACAGTAGGGTTTCAGAGGATAATTAATAAGCAGAAGTGTATTTACTAATTCCTGTATATTTTTTACCCCGGTATTTCTTTGAAATATATTTTACGTTTAACTCAATGCTGTTTGTAAAACTTAGGGGCATAAAAATTTTTGCTCAAGAATTTCGTCAGATAATTCTCCAAACGTTTAGCAGCAGTATCTGCCTTGAACTTAATGTTCATGAAGAGGGGTTTCCTAAGAACTATGAAGTTTTACAGATTATAATTTTGATTTTATGTTACACTTAATAAGCCTGGATGGATAACTGTTTTTGAGGAATATCAAACAAATAATTTACCCAACTCAAAACGACCATTGTGAATGATATTATCGAATAGAAAATTTTCTTTGCTGAATTTTCTTAATTCTTTTTAATGAGTTTCAATCTTCGAACTTTTTATTTCTCGAATTCATTCTATCTTTTAGAACTGCACTCTGTAGTATCTGATCTCTCCCGCTATCACTAACACTACAGTTGTTTTGACTTCTTTTTTATTCATCTTGTTGTGCTAATATGATATGGCGATTTGGACCAACGTGTATTTTTCCCAGGCTCTGTGTTGATCATAACTGACTGATTATATACATATAATACGATTCTAGACGAATTCATGGATTGATACAGTAGCTGCATTTAGTTATTTGACTATTACTTGTAACTTTTTTATTTTGTTTTAAGGATAGAAAAGTATTCAGAGTCAATCGCAGAAAATATATACTTAAATAAGTATTTAATAACTATGAGAAACATATTTCTAGAATGATTACTTTTTCAGTACTAAAGTAAGGGAATTATTGATTGAAGACAAGTGGAAATTATTTCCAATCTACAAATTAGGGAATTTGTTGTACAAATTACAAATCACCAGAAATAATATCAAATCAGCTATCTTATAACCTAAGCAATAGAACATAACAAATGACTAATTTCAAAGTGAATCCCTTTATTATTCAGCACTAAAAGAAATAATCTTACATATATGATTGTGATATTCAATAAATAAGGGGATAATTTATTAGAGTAACAGTTTTCTGTATTGATTCGTGTAACTTTACAAATTGATAAACGCGTAACAAGTCATAAAAATAAAGAAACAATTGTTTTTACAAAACATTTTATCTTTATACCGATCGATCATATTTATTTAGACAATGGTGTTGACTTAATCCTGTCGATTAGCAGTAACATTTAAATACAGTGGACGTGATGACGAGTCATTTACACCACTGACCAAATCGTAACTTAGTCAACAGAATTCAATTAGCTCAAAGATAAAAATGACGCTGGTTGATACAAACTGACGCCTCAAACTTATAGGATCGTGTCGATCAAATAGTTCATTGTCAATGTCTCTCTGTACGAGATACTGAATGGTGATAAATTCGAACACATGGAGCGTTATTTTCTTCAAATATTTAAAAAGTTACGGTTATCTAGTTTTAACTGGTACGAAGTCTAAAGCCAGAGATATCTATCAACTACTTAACAATTCAATGTATCTTTAAAAAAAATATAAAAAAATAATTGAATGAGGAATTTCCTTTGAGAATACAACAAAATAATGATGATAACAATGAAAATGATGTTTGCTGAACTGACATTTTCACATATGAAACTGCATTACACATTTTTGTATTTTTATATTCAACCATGAATGCCAGTTTTTTCTTTCACTTTCATCGCAATTTCTTTTAAGGAATTTAACGTGTACTATCAGTTATTTAATTAGAGTATCTTGAAAGTTAGTAGATGTCACAATTATATAAATTGATGAAAACTTTTACAGGCACTGATTAGTTATGAACGGATAACATAACATGTTTATATCAAGTTATTCACAAAAAAACATGCAGTTAGTTAATTAGTTAGAAGTCGATTAGCTTTACAAAATGTGATTAGTTAACCGTCCATAAAATAATGAAAAAAGATACACAACTACAATCTACTTAAATGCAGTACACAAGACCATAATATATCTGATGACTAAATTACCATAAAAACATATTTCTAATTGTGCTCTTTACAAGACAACAATTTCAACAACTAGAAAAGTGAGATGGAACCTAGAAGTATTAGGTTGAATCCGTGGGACAAGTATTATTAAGTAACCTCAAAAAAGAGTAGAAAAATTCTATGTACCTATAAAAATTGTTGCGTTGGTTGTTAGAGAGGGCATCGGCCTCGTGACTTCCGAAGAATGTCGGCTTCCGTCCTGAGGCGTCATAATTCTTCCTTCAACTTCCAGGGTAGATTTTAAATGGTTTAATATGTTTAATCTGGTTGGCGTTTTTTTAGCAAGGTTCTCTTTTCTACAGGATGGGGTTGTCGACCCAATGCCTAACCCTCTTCATTTACCTGGGCATGGTACCCGCAGTAACACTAGAAGGGCTACAGGAGTTTGGAGGCCTGGCCGAGACTCGAACTCGGGTCGCTGGATTCAAAGTTCAGAGTGCCAACCGCTATATATGGAACTCAGAACAACTGCCAACCAATATCAAAGTCAGAATCTTCAGTACGAATGTCAAGACAGTCCTATCGTACGGAGCTGAAACGTGAAGAACTACTACAACCATCATCAAGAAGATACAAGTATTTATAAATAGTTGTCTACGCAAGATACTCGACATCTATTGGCCGGATACCATCAGCAACAGCCTTCTGTGGAAGGACAAACCAGCTTCCAGATGAAGAGGAAATCAGGAAAATACGTTGGAAGTGGGTAGGACATACATTGAAGCAATCACCAGACTGCATCACGAGGCAAACCCCAACTTGGAATCCTGATGGGAAACGAAAAAGAGGAAGGCCAAAGAACACATTACATAGGGAAATAGAAGCAGATATAAAAAGGATTGCCCAGGACAGGGTTGGATGGAAACTGCTGGTGGGCGGTCTATGCTCCTCCACGAGGAGTAACAGGCGTAAGTAATATATGGCCACCTAAGTTTTTAAAGTTGTCTAATAGATATCAATTCATATTGTAAACTAGGTTAAAATCAGTCTTGTCATAATTCTAAAAAAGGGAACTACTTTACAATTAAAATACATGTATACACATACCTTGAATGAAAATGCGAATCTGACAAGCGGATTTAACCAATTATCCGATAACATCATATTACAACTTGGTGATGTAGATAATGACGTCGGTTGAAATCTCTTGATCCAATAAGCAGTTGAATGTAAAATGCAACTTACTGTTTCTGATGTTTTTGTTAACAATTCAAGTAAACGAATAATCAATGCTACATTTTCTAATGACAAATTACCTTGGCTTGTCATTTTGTCATCCTTATTATTATCATTATGACTGTTATTAATATAATTGTTACTATTCGCAAATTCAGTAGTTTTAGAATAATGAATTAAAAATGTTAAGTTTGATTTGACATATTCGATACGTTTGAATAAATCAGATATTGAAACTAGAGGAAAGACCAAACAATAGAAAATAATTAGTGTAACATGAACTTAATTAGAATTTAATAATACCAATTAAGCAGTAGTTGATCACTATGATGAATTGAGGAAATGTACTGCATTTTATTAGACAGTTAATTGTTATCAACGAGAGCGGTTAACTTTGCTTAACTTTGTAAAACCTATTGCTATCTATTATATTTAACAACCAAATGATTCTTATATACGGAAGGAAAACGGATTAAGTACAGGATTTTTAATTGAACCAAATTTGAGCCACAGTTTAGTTGTTTGAAGAGTGGCAGTGATTACTATTCGGGTACCCAAATGAAGATCCGCACTAGCAACCCAGTATTTGCAAACCACAGCATTTTCACACCTACACTATAGCTCTATTATTTAACTACCATAACAACAATACAGCTTAACTAGTGTTATTAGGCTTGACATCCCAGAAGTGCTGTAGTGTAGGTTGCTATGTTAAGCCTATATACCTTGTTCTAGCTTCTGAACAAACCAATTTATCCATTATAGTTGAGTCATATTTTTACCATGTTGATTATTCGCTTATCAACCTCGACTGTTTTTATATATGTGTGTATGTGCACTTCTTATCTCATTCACCACATGTCTGTAACTTATTTTTATCTGGCTATAAACATCAATTAACGCTTGATTAGAGGGAGTTGGCTTACACGCCTTCTCCACTGCGCATCATTTGGCTTTGCTTCGTCTCTCTGATCATCTGTCCAGATCAATGTGTACGTATTCGAAATTCATTCTCGTATTTGACTTATTTAATTCCGTTATTCACTAACGCGATTTAAGTCGATGATTTTATACGAGGATAGACGATATGTGCATTTCGACAGCAATCATTCGTCCGATCTAACTGGAATCAGATCTAGGGCCACAAAAGTGTAACATACTGGTTAGGGAACAAGAATATGTGAAGTTACTGATCAGTATGTACTTACATGGATGGATCTGTATTTATATACAGGCTGGTAACTACGATAAAACTGAGATTTAGGTTATTTTATCGATTGGCTTCAACCATTTGTGATAATCAACTTAGAGCCAAGTACAAATATGTGTTAACCTACGTTTTTATGCCATATCAGCACAATCGGATGAAATTGGTAAGACAAGCATCGAAGAAATCAAAACAATGTAGTGGTAGTGAGGATGAGAATAACTAGGCAATGGGGATATTGTTCCAAAAGATAGATTGGAAAGGCATGTACGAAGATATACTGGAACTTAAAAGCCACGTCATTCAACTTCTAAAAGCACTGATCGAGGTTATCATATGAGCTCCTAACCGGATAGTCTGAAACTATCAACATGGTTCAGATTAACAGTCAATGGTGTCACTGAGTGATAATACGTTTTGATTTAATCGCCCCAAGTTTTCTCCCAACAATCAATGAAGATTCACAGTCAACTTTACTCGAACAACATACCCCGAACCTTACCATTGTTTACTCGGTCATTCTACTAAACGCGAAAAGTGTTTCCAAAACATTCATGATAAAGTATTTAGAGTTAAGGTATGTCACGAGCATATCATACTTCCCACCCGTTGGTAGATGAACATCTCTATGTCACAAATGATGTAAGTTAAAAAACGGTAAGTTGGCTATTTGAATCTACGCCAATATAGCAAATTATAAACAAAAAAATATTTAAAACATTTATAAACTTATAAAAATTTACTTCTTGACACAACATCCAATTGATTTAACTCCGATGTCCAGTTTAATAAATTTGGTGAGATTTTCGTGATATATTTGACAAACATTACCATGAAATCTGTTTTCAAAAATTTCATCTCATTAACTTGAATTGCTGTTGTAGAGGATTGTTGATCGTGTTGGACTATTTGACTTTTAGTATTAGATATTCGTGGTAATGTAAACTGCCAATCTATCAGCTAGAATTTTAAACGCATAGAAAAGTTGAGAAGGTATATATATATATATATATATATATATATATATATCGTGTGTGAAATAACTATATCACATATTAATCGTTACATAAATATTAAGTTACAAGCAAAGAAACAACGTGAAATTTTTTAGACAATTCCAAAGCTTTTAAACCAACAAATCGTCTTTATTCGTCCATAAACAATGATTAGAGAAAATGGTGATAGCAGACAATAAAGAGTGTTTATTTTAAACAGCACATGGTGGAACGACAAGGTTAAATTTGAAAACATTCCAATGTTCATCTATGAAACTTCATGTCAGAAACATTTCAGTTGGTTTCATCTAAACACCGGGGAGGGTATGAATAATCAATTTAGCGAATAACAATTTATTTAAATTCATAAATGGAACCTACTACATGTAATCATAAACTCTCGGAACCTATTTCCAGACCTCGACTGAATAAAAAGCATGTGAAACTATCAGACAGATACCTGAATGTATTGTTGCAAATTTTCTAAACAAGACACTATGACTTATCGGATAAGAAATGACTTATAAGGAACGAAAATATTAAATTCACATTCCTTCGCATCACAAGTATGAATACTTTCACACAGAAAGCTGTGACTGGATACGTACTTGAAACCTGAATGCAAGAGAACGTTAGAAATAAATATTGTCGATCTGCACTAAACAGGAGAGCACTATTTCACACAAATATTTACAACTGGTAATGAATGTAAAACCAAGTTGATTATATTGTTGACCATTATAGATTTAATAACCTAGCGAATAACCGTCTGCAGTTTGGAACGATAAGTGTAGTGTTCAATTTTCAATATGAGTAATCAATACTAGGATGTGGGTACATACGCCCAAAGAAGCTGTACACATGAATGAACACAAGTTGTGGAGATACCAATCTTTTTTATGACATTTAGAATCAATAACTCAATATTCAAGATACACAATAGTTCACAAACAGAAAATTGAGTCAGTTTTAGGCAAACAAGTTTTCCAGTTACTGGACAAGTTATATAATAATGTAGACGGTTGATTTCTAGGATATTAATCTGTAGCATGTTGCATAAGTTAGACATTATTATGAGTACCTTACTACATTAATTACTATGTAAATACACTGTACTTCTAACGAAAAGAATTAACAAAATTTACATAATTTAGATGAAATGGTTTTGTACAAATTTTAATTAATTTTGAGAAGGAGAGAGAGTGTATTCATCACGAGTTGATGTCAGTATGAGTACTATTGAAACCAAATAGTACTGAATAGATGTTCATTGACACCGTAATTGAGACTAATCCATAACGAATATCAACTAAAAATTTCAACAGGTTGAAATCATGAGTCAGTTGAGGCTAGACCGCCATTGAAAACGTGGAAGCACTGGACGGCCGTCTCGTCCTAGTATGGGACTCCTCAACAGTGCGCATCCACGAACCCGCCCCCGCGGGATTCGAACCCAGGACCTACTGGCCTCGCGCGCGAGCACTTAACCATTAGACCACTGAGCCGGCATCCAACGGTGTTAATGTCTAACTTCAACCAATCCACGAAGTTGCGCCACTGAACACCATTGTCTTCAGTGAGCTGATATCTCACAACATTCTGATAATAATCAACTGCTCACCAGTGACTGACTTCAGGAGAACCTCCTGGAGTTCTAGTGAGAAGCTGTCACCAGTGGAGTTCAACCAGGTCTATTTTAACAGTTTAAAATATCTACCATACATAAAATAATCCAGACGAATAGTAGTAGAATAAACAAACAAACGGGACTACTAACCAAGTTAATATGAGCTGAAAGACAACAAGACTGTCAAATTGATACTATTCCTATATATAGACACATACATGAACACACAATATTCACGAAGACTATCAAAACTAATTTGTTTTTAGCGAAAACACAACTATTTAAGCAAACAAATAACCTAACGAGAGAAAAACAAAAATAAAGGTGACTCAGCTGAATTATAACGTTTTCAAATGGAACGAGGAAAAAAACACTAACTAAAACAAGTGAATCATCATTAGCTATACTTTCTTATAACAAATTGGAAGTAGTTCACTATTTTAAGCTGAGTTGGATAGTGGTTAGCAGTGGAATCTATCAGGGACTAATCAACCAGATGAATCTGTACCCATGTTTATGTTTAAATCGGGATTTGAACTTGTTACTTTTTGATTGATCAAATATTATTCTTATTGTTCCGTCGTACTATTTAAACTTGGATTAATTTTAATTTGGTTATTTATTCTCTGAAGAAGTGACTTACACTAACTCACGAAACGTCAGAAAATCTAATTTTCTACTCATTAGAATATTACAAATATATTATTTATTTGTTACTTTTTGTTTAAAAGACCCAACGCGTTATCCAATTAACTACTGAGTCCATATAGCCATGGCTTTGTGCAACGGGATGGATTTGGATTCGTTTGTAAAGGATGTTTGAATGTTTCGATTGATGTTATGGAATGAAATTGTTCAATCTCATTTGGCATACGTGCACCCAAATAAGCGAAGATAAGTGTACAGAAGTTTGCGTTACACCCTTGAATGCAGACTTTTTATAAAAAGATATATGTAATCAACAATAAAGATCAAATAAATGGTCCACGTACAATTTAGTGAGATATACATTACGCTCTGAATACTACACTGAATTTAAAACCTCTAGTACTCCCTACATTTCAACGGCGACAAGATCTGTGAGCTTTTAATGAAGTCAGATTGACTGGCATGTTTTCTTTACTTCATTCTGTTCGATTGAATTTTTCCGTATAGATTCACAGATTAGGCACATATCCATCGATTACCAGTTGATCTAAATGTTTATTTACTTATTTGAACACATGAATATGAGTACAAAGGGGCACATATGCGCCACACAAGTCACTTGATCTGTGTGTGCATTGTGATACTACCGGGTGCCCAGACCGAAGCAGGCGGTTTTCTTAGGGGACCACATCCGGAGCCATTCGACCTAAAGGTTTGATCAACAACATCAGGAGATGCAGTCCCGTGGTAGCCGGTGACCAACGACTGGTTCATACGCCATTTGTTCCTTCAGAATCCTGGAGTTCATGTGCACCGTTGATTTAGAATCTGGATTTCCCGAACCCCCTAGGTGGATCCTCCATATCCATCAACCTCGTTAAAGCGCCGGACATTCGCTTTTCGTCCTCTCAATTTCGTAAACAACACCAGTGCCGCGAGAAGGCAGTGAGTAAGACTTCCTTGTTAGTGGCTGTATACGCGTGGCCATGTGAGTGTTTTGAGAGGGAAAGCAGACTCTCCTCGCCCTCGACCGTACCAGGGCAGTTGAGGGCGATCTAGATGCCATGTTTATGGAAATTTTCTAGTACTTTGGGATTTCCGTGAACCAAAACTTTGAAGTTTTCCGAAAGATCATCAGTAAAAGCATCCAACTGAATCATAAGTCTTGTCAATATACTAAGCGACTGCATAGAAGATTGAAGCCGGGGCCTTCAAGTCTTGTAGTAATAATGTCTTCAGAAAGGTGAGACGGCGAGAAGAGTCATCCTGATGATATGCATTATATTTACTTTCGATAAACACAGGAAATTCACAAAGCCTTTTTTACTGTAACGGTTTCCTTTCATTAACTTCAACGCTGATCCACATGGTTGTGTTGGGGATTCGCTACCTTAGATCACAGTCAATATCAGTTTGTTGGGATGGCCAGAAAAATATACCAATAATTATCGTGTCAAGTCTAGTGGTGGCCTTGAACTTTAAATGTACACTACCTATTGGTCGATATTTGTTTCATTTGTTAAATATTGTGTAAATGTTTTTTCCTATTTTATGGTACGATGTGGTTTGTTTGTTTGGTATATAAATAGAGTATGTTTGTAATACAATGATTCATATATCCGAGGCTGAAACTTGTGTTCCGGACTCAACTGGCTGGGTTAGACAAGGAAGCGGGACCAATCAGAACCCTAGGCCGTTGTTCTACGTGTTTGTGCGTTGATATAGAATTGATAAAAAATTTATTTGTATCAATATCAAAAAGTTTAATTTACTGAACTGCTGTTTTTACTCTAGTCAGTTAGGTAAGAAAACGAAGAGAAGTATTTTCGTTCATAGTATTGAAATTGGAGTAGCGAAATTATAAGCACAGTGTACGAACGGATCAGATTGAAATGAACACTTTTTTATCACCCTAGAGTAGACGATTAAAGAAAACTTGCTATCTCGATTTCATTTGTTTGTCGAACAGAGGATTCAAAATAATAACTAATATTTTAAAACCATTCATATTATGAGTAGTACCATTAATAAAAGGTCAATGAGTTGTTAGAATTTCAGTGGCGTGGAGGTGTTGGGATATTCAGAAAATTATCCAAAAATTATCTTGTTAAGTCTAATGCTATCCTTGAACTTGAAATAGCATCATTTTCCCATTGGTCAATATTTATTTCACGTGTCATTTTCCTGTTGGCCAAATATTGTACAAATGTTATTTCCTACTTTATGGTACGATGTGGTCTGTTTGATTGGCATATAAACAGAGTATGTTTGAAATATAATGATTCATATCGCAGAGGTTGAGACTTGTGTTCTGGACTTATCTGGCTGGGCTAGGCGGGAAGCAGGGTCAACCAGGACTCTAGACTGCTCTCACGTGTTTACGCGTCATTGATCCGATCGATAAGTTACTGCTCCATAATTAGCGGTTACAAGTTATAACAGGAAGATTAAAGAATTAATTTCTGGCTAACATGTTGCGGGTTCTAACTCCACTACATCTACTTTACTTTTTTAAGCCGGATAGTGTCGTAACCTTACACCAAAAGTGTGATCAGAAGTCAAGTACGAAAAAAACATACGTTTGGAAGATGATTCACGCTAATTGGAACTCCATAAACGCATATTACACGACATAAATATGGATAAGTTAATAGGTTTAATTACTTTACACACATTGCTGTTATAAGTGAAGAAATAAAAGTGAAATTTCCACGACATTTTCAACAATCATGTATCAGGGGTTAAATTGCTTTCAAAATACATAGATAAAAATATTAAATATAAAAGGACACCGTTACACTTAGAAATAACTCATCATCATACAGAATACTTGAAATCAAAAGCATTGAAGACAAGAAACTAAAAATTGACGTAACTTTACCCAAAATTCTAAGATTGATGGTAATCCAAAACGAATGAATTATACAAATCAATACACCCAGAAAGAATGACGTGAGTTTTAAACTCGATTCAAAGTATGTTTATTGAGCCTATCCTGTTCATTAGATATTAAGAACAGATATACCTGATTAGGCAAACATCTTTGAGGCATGATTCAAGTTAAACGTTCTGTATGCAAAATGATGCGGAAGTGCTGATAATTTTCTTTGGAATCCAATCAGTGATAGCGGACGGTTCTAGAACATGATACGAGTATCCAATATAATTTTCACATGAACACATTACTTTGAAATATATTTCATATCGGGGTTCGCCTTATTCTGCCGAATCACGATATTGCGGATCATTGTTGAACAATCACTAGAATGGAACTCGCTGATATGCATCGAATACCTTGATTATGAGAAAGCATTCAACGGAATGGATAGTGAAACCTTGTGAAATCTATGACGATATACAGTACCTAAGAAGACGTCACCATTATACGGAACTACGAAGAAAATCTGCATTGCAAACCCACGTATACAGGGTAACTCACAGGAGCTTCAAATTTAAGACTGAAGTCAGACAAGGCTGTCTACTCTCGCTTTTTCTCTTCCTGTTAGGTGTTGACTGGACTATGAAGAATTCTAAATCTCAGAAGACGCACAGAATAGAATGAGCACTTAGTACACAGTTGGATGAAATAGACTATGCAGATCACATAGCCCTCCTAGAGCATACAAAGCAACAAAAGCAGGAAAAAACTGCCAGTGTAGCGGCAGTTAATAACCACTTTTTCAATTAAAACATAGTAAATAATGAGATTGTTTCCAATGCATATTTTTACGAATGATAACATGACAACGGCGAAACAAAACTTACAGAATCTAAACTTTTCAATTGAAAACCAGTTGATTTGTGATCATTCAATAACATATTTGTACATCTCCAAACTAATTGTATAATTAATGGTAATTTAGTACTGACTAGTATACTTGTACAGCATTCAAGAACTAATGATATATTCTGTGGGGAGGAATAACAAACAAACAAACGAACAGTAAACATTTTAAGAAAAGGAGTATATATCTAAGACAAGGCAAAAATTGTAGTGTTCATTTGACTTTTAATAACTCTTCCAGATAATTTGAATTCGTGATGAAAATTATTTCTAACCTGAACAAACTTATCAAAAATTATCTCAATAAAGAAAGACAGGATATCACCATATGATTCATACGACTGGATTGAACCCAACGACAATACTTTTGTTTAGTTTTAATATTCAAACACAAATTAGATTCATCAAAGAGGAATAGTATATATTTGTAAAATCTCAGCGAAAGAATTTGAAGTAATTCCAACGTTTCGCCTGGCAATCTGGTCCAAGCTTTTTCAAGGAAAATATAATCAAACAACAAAATTATCGAATACAAATAGGTACATGGTTCTTCGGTTTACTGTATACTGATATTCGATAATTTTGATGTTTGACTATATTTTCCTTGAAAAAGCTTGGACCAGATTGCCAGGCGAAACGTTGGAATTACTTCAAATTCTTTCGCTGAGATTTTACAAATATATATCATTCCTCTTTAATGACTCACATTAACTCGGCGCCCACATATTGTGAAACTATTCGTTCAAATTTAGACGAAAGTTCTTATTTACAAATTAGATTGTCTAATCAGACAGAAAAAGTATTTATTCTAACCGATAAAGGTTTCAATTGGATATAAATTGAAATGTATGTTAATGAGGAATATAAGATTCACATAAATGACCAGTTAATTGTTGTTGCGGTGTCAGTTATCAAAATATTCAGACTGAACAATCGTTTTCCTAAAAGAACCAATAGAAAATAAAGTATTTTGTTTTATAACAGAAAGCTTCAGAGATCCATTTTCTAGGGACTTCAATCACACTTTGTACATTATTTTTATCTGATTTGTGAATGAAAATCGTTCTGTTGCGGACGATGTCACAAGTAGGTCACTTCACAAACAAATTGGTGCTATAACTGGTTATTCTTAACCAACAGCACTTAACATAAAAGAAAACGAATCAAACCCAGAAAATCTATTTATTTCTCCGCCTAATTATGATACTAGTAAATAAACAGGAGAAAGTCGACTATTTTTGATGATCAATTAATAAGGAGGTTGATTTCACGTGCTGTCGAGTGCGCTCAAATAAATCCGAAATGAAAATGTGAAAAAACTGTCTATTAGCTAGATTAAGTTGAATTTCCAGAGGAATTTAGAAGCATTTTTCATAAGATCCATACATACAGTTACATTCATAAAAAACAATGCATTCAATTTTCTTCAGATAAAATCTCACCTCGTTAATAAGTTTCAATTCTTCAATCAGAGTAAATTTAATAAGATTACCATGCAGTAAAGTGAGTAGACAAGGCCAACGTTGTTGATTTTTATCAGTACCAGTAATACAAAGGAATAACTCGTCGATATTGAATTGACTAAAATACTTTCGAAATATGTTTTCCAGTTGTTCGAACAATTCAATAGTTGATGAATTCATTATCATAAAACTATTATTATTATTACTTCTAAGATTCTCTGCTAAACAATGAATTTCATTTAATAAACGTTGTGTAATAATAGGATTCAATTTCAAATGTAATAAATATTCAGTTAGTTTTGATCTAGAAAAATTATATTTGATCTCCCTATCATATTCATTATAAACGATGTTGACTGCTTCAATATTTTCCAGTGACTGATTATTAGAGGAGGTTTCTAAAAGTCCGACTCTATGAAGATCATCAAAAACCTTTGAATGTCTAAGGAAAAAGAAGAATGCATGAAGAACATGACATGTAAAATTATTAAGAAATGAAGTTGTTTAACGACGAGGACAACAACAATATCATAATTAACTAATAAAATTAAGTAATCACGTATCGATCAGTGTTATTACTTTAAAAACAGAATTAGTTTACGAATCAAAGAATAGCCGAAGAAAACGAACACTTCAGTTAGTGTTACCTACAATACTAGTAATACTAACAAATGTATAATATCGATTCCGTAAAATATTATGAATGAACACGGTTGAGGAGTCGCAAATAATTTGCTTTTGCTCTCAGTTTTAAAATAACTATCTGACCAATATTATATTGTCATGACAATGATCCTGAGAATTACATTACCTAGAAAAAATTGTACGCTTACATGCCAATTTCAATAACAATCAACATCGGTTGTCCAACATTGCAATAAATTTCTCATTAACATAGATTCAAGTTGAAATTATTCGGAGAATTATGTTGTATAAATGACTTTTTCAATAGTTAGTATCTGCCGCTTATCTTTAGTCGTGAAATCTTTCTATCAGTTCTCAGGTGCCAAAATTGTCTTGATACACTTCATGAACTTAGAAGGCGCAAAACACATACCGAACCTACGGACACTAATTGCCAACTGAATGAGTGCAAATTGCATGTCTTTGGTATCATCACCCAGCAAGACAATATCATCCGCATACTTAAGGTCGAGAAGTCATTCCCCATACAGCAAATCCATACCACCACTAAATTCCAATTTTAATAGAGATGTTTACGAACTTTTAAGAAGTTATCATAAATAATTAAAAATATTGATCATATGAAGACTTCATGTACTCTGATTTGAGACACCATTAATTTGAAAGTTGGTAATACTACATGGTATTCTAAAACAAAGTATGTGTACAAGAAATCGTTCAGTAAAATTTTAATTTTTAGATTTCAATAATTTTTTCTGCACAAGTTCTATCTAGATCCAAATATAATTCAGGTAAAATAAAATCATGGATGTATGTCAGTTAAAATACTCTACATGATAAAAAGAAATAACTGTTAATCACGTTACGATAAACAATGTTTATTGGTGTTTTTTCATAATAGATATCCACTATTTGAATGGAAATGTTAGGCAATTCCAAAAACAACTTTTACTTGGAATAGAAAGGTTATTCTCACCTTGTATCGACTGAATCATCAGTCTTATGCAATGAATTAATTGATGTTAAAGTTTGTTGTTTGTTTAGTGAATTCTGTGGTAATTTCTTATATGCATTAAACCATAAATCTGGTAGCTGATTAGAATAAATATGAAAGAAATCTTCCGAGTTGGTACAGATTCCTTCAGCTCTCATAGATATATTCGCTAAATAACATGTCCTGAATACTCGATCACTGAATATAGTATCCAGTGATGTTGCTGTTAACTGTGTGATCACACTATCATCATTGTGAGAAGAAAGAGGAGAAGGACACGAAGAAGAATATGAAAATTCCCAACCAATTGGATAAATCATAATTAAACGATCATTGGATGAATCATTTTCAGCACTAAACAGTTCTGCTGCTGATAAACTAGAAACTAATTTGACTAGTTCGGCTAAATAATTAGCTGCTTGGTTAGCTAACTGTTTGCATGTAGTAAAATTTTGTATGGCACAGGATTTAACTAAAACAAACAAACAAATATGAAGAAGACGGGAAAATAATATACAATTCACTATAAGACATTCTGATGATGTTTGTCAACCACCTTGAAATGGTTTCTAATCCCCCTATCTTAATAATTTATTCCAGTAATATACACTAAGATAGCTGTTGAATGGGTTTTAACTGAACTATAAAGGCCTACTGAAGAAATTAGTATGGTAAAAACCGATAAACATTGGATTCTAAGGCGACGTTATTCTGTCAACTATATTGAGGTATCCGATAGCGGTGAGTTGTTTCTTACAGGTAATGAGTATATTCGGGGATGTTGAATTTTTATAATCAAGATGAAAACTTTGAAATAGTCCAATTTACTGCTAGGTTTGACGTTATCACGAGTCCACTTAATATGCGAACGATAACAAAGACCAATAAGCTAGATATTCTGATGCGTCCCAGCCCCGCTATCTAGAGGAAGAAGTTCAAGCTTGGGATGGGGAAGTATATTCTGCAAAGGGCTAGAAACGAGCGATAACAACAAACACAAATCAAAATGTATATATACAGCATAAAACCGTCCTTAGGGAGAGTTACGAAATAGCATACTAAAAGACACAACGGACCAATAGCATTTAGGATATTTCCCAAGTGGAAATACGACATGAAGGTGACAAGAGCGCTTTTGGCGCTAAAACAAAAAAATTCAAATTTTCTAAAATAAAATTACAAAATTAGGTCTTTTTCTGGGGATCTAACGTCCCCAACACTTACCATATAAATTTTTCTCGGTATCAGTGGAAAGAATTTTAAAAATGCAGCTGGAACTATTAAATCGAAAATACATAGTTAAAAAAAATTCTCGCTTTTGACTAGTGGTATACAGATATATTCTTGAAAAATTCCCATTATATTAAAAACACAATTGTATGAACGAAGAATATTCTTTTCAATAATTTCTCATCAGGTTCTACAATTATAAATCCAGATTAATAATCCATAAAATTGGCCAGATTTAAGGCAAAATACATCATCATTTGGAAATGGTAATATGTGAATCAGGAATTGTTTGTTATATAAAAATAAAATCGTTAATGTTGGGGCTGACTAATATGAAGTGTTAACTTGAAACGGTTTATAAGCAAAATGAAATTGTGAGATAAATTATCAGAATAAATATGGTCAACATGGGGTAAGAGAGAGAGAGAGAGAGAATATTGTGATTACAAATCGGAAATTGCGTAATATGTAAAATAATCAGGTCAAATATAGTAGGTTCAGGGGTGGATATTAAATAAATTCCTCAAAAAGGGTTTATCAAGTGTAAAGACAATAATAATAATAATAATAATAATAATAATAATAATAAGTTTGGGACATAAAATGAACATTAATCAGATTATGTCACCACATTATAAGATTGATTATTAGCTAGTTGGCCAGGGTAAAAGGAGAGGCTGAACATACTTCTTTTGGATACAAAGCTCTGGCTTTTTGATCCGAATAGCAATTGCTTCAGCCGTCTGTAGGATTCGCAGTCTGACGGAATTAGGTAGACTGCTGTTGACACGATAGATTATTGCAAAAGATTGCTCCATGTTGGCTGTATGTCCTGTTTGGACTAAATGGTCTAAGATGGAGCTGTTAACAGTTTTGACAACACCTTTGCTTAACCACACGGGTAGGTGCTCACGAGCCCGAATGTACAAATTCCTAGAACATCTGCCGATATAACTTGCTCCACAGGAGCAGTTGAATTGATAGATACAGAAGGAGGTGGCTAGTCTAGGTAATTTATCTTTCAACCTCGGAGTGATTATTGGTCGTGTGGAGAATACTAGTTGTAGTTTGGCTGCGTTGAAAGTCCTTTGAATTGATCTACTTAACTTAAGTCTTAACATTTCACTCGGCGCGTCTCCTCTGAATTGTAAGCGTATATATAGAGGCTTTCTATTTACTGTTGGACATTCTCTACGCTGTCTTTTATTGGCTAAGTTTTTATTTATAAATTTCTCTGGATATCCATTTTCTTTCAGGGTTGTAAACAATCTCTTTGTTTCATCTTCAATCGTATCCACAGTGCATATAGTCTTGATTCTATGATGTAGTGTCTTGATAAGGTTCCTTTTTTGTTGTAGAGGAACGAAACTGAAAAAGTTAGTATATTGACCCGTCCAGGTCATTTTCCTGTTTATGTTTCTTTTTAGCGATCCATCTTTTCTCCTTGTAAGCAGAACATCTAGGAAGGCTATTTTACCCCCATTTTCTTTTTCACATGTGAATTTTATGGACGGGTGAGCTGTATTGAATTGCTCGAGTGTTCTTATCAAGTCCGTACGCTCGTTACAAAGGATAAATGTATCATCCATATATCGACAGTACAATGGAAACTTATCGATCTCTTGTGCCAGTGGGCCGTTTTCTAGTTTAGAAAGGAAAATGTCTGCCAATATGGGACCCAGGGGTGAACCCATCGCGACGCCATCTATTTGTCTGTAGATTTCCCCATTGAATTTGAAATGTACATTCATAGTGCATTTTAGTAATAATTCTTTGATGATCTCTACAGGGATTGTCGTTTCTAGTTCCTGTTCTCTAAGTTGTTCACAAATATATTCTACAGTTTCTCTGAGTGGAACATTTGTGAACAGTGATGCTACGTCAAAAGAAATCATCGTCTGATCTTTCGTGTTTATGTTTTTAATTCTGTCAACGAATTGGAATACGTCCTTAATACTATGTTTTACCAGGCGATTATGGAGTGGTTTCAAAACAGTTACTAGCCACTTTGCTACAGTATGATATGGGGAATCATACATGTCCAAAATTGGCCTTAATGGGATATCCGGTTTATGTATCTTTGGCAGTCCGTATAACCTAGGTAAATGTGTACCTATTGGCTTAATTGTTTCGTATACATCTTTTGCAATCATTTGTTGATCTCTGAGCTTTTTTAAGGTTCGGGTCAGTTCATTCTCTATCTTATTATTGACATCTTTTTGGTTATTCAGTTTCTGAAATTTTTGAAGATCATTCAAGATATTATTCATCTTGTCAATGTAATCTTTTTTGTTAAGTAGGACGGTTCCTGTTCCTTTATCGGGTTTTGTGATGATCAGGTTCTCGTCACTAATGAGATCCATGATAGCCTCCCTGTGTTTCTTAGTTAAAATACTTCTGTAGTTATATCTACTATTCTTAAACTGATAGCAACAGTCAACTAGGTTTGATTTGAAACGTTCAAGGCCAACTAGCTAATAATCAATCTTATAATGTGGTGACATAATCTGATTAATGTTCATTTTATGTCCCAAACTTATTATTATTATTATTATTATTATTATTATTATTATTATTATTATTATTGTCTTTACACTTGATAAACCCTTTTTGAGGAATTTATTTAATATCCACCCCTGAACCTACTATATTTGACCTGATTATTTTACATATTACGCAATTTCCGATTTGTAATCACAATATTCTCTCTCTCTCTCTCTCTTACCCCATGTTGACCATATTTATTCTGATAATTTATCTCACAATTTCATTTTGCTTATAAACCGTTTCAAGTTAACACTTCATATTAGTCAGCCCCAACATTAACGATTTTATTTTTATATAACAAACAATTCCTGATTCACATATTACCATTTCCAAATGATGATGTATTTTGCCTTAAATCTGGCCAATTTTATGGATTATTAATCTGGATTTATAATTGTAGAACCTGATGAGAAATTATTGAAAAGAATATTCTTCGTTCATACAATTGTGTTTTTAATATAATGGGAATTTTTCATCAATTAAAATCTTGTGATCAACCCATTGCGTTGAAGGCACTCAACGAGTTCCTGAAGTATAACGCAAAGTTCACTGAAACGAAAACTTCATTGGAATTTATAAAAAACTGTATCGAATCATGTCATTATCCGAAACTGTTCTATAAGTCACTACGCCGTAATCATATTAATCCAAATAGAAAAACATTAAAACGCTATGCACTTAATAAAATTGACACATTGAATAATGACTTGACAGAGATAGAAGTAAACATTGCTCGCAGAAGATTTGCAGTTGATGAATTACCAGAAGACCTTAAGTCCCAGTTTATGGAGTATGTCACAAAAATAACTAAGGAACGTTCAAACAAGAAACATATTCAACTTCTCAAAAGCCTTGAAAATCAACCGGTTGAAAATAAATTTCCGACGGAACCAAAAAGGTATGTGCACAATTTTTCCGGTACTGAATTAAATAAAGAAAAACTTGAAGTATTAGCACTTGGCCTAAAATTCTGTGATACACGAAACCGCGTAAATCAAATCGATACGGACATCCAATTTGAAAACCTAAATCGTCAGACATCAGATCTGGTCCCGACCTCTGACCAGGAACTTGAACGTTTCAAATCAAACCTAGTTGACTGTTGCTATCAGTTTAAGAATAGTAGATATAACTACAGAAGTATTTTAACTAAGAAACACAGGGAGGCTATCATGGATCTCATTAGTGACGAGAACCTGATCATCACAAAACCCGATAAAGGAACAGGAACCGTCCTACTTAACAAAAAAGATTACATTGACAAGATGAATAATATCTTGAATGATCTTCAAAAATTTCAGAAACTGAATAACCAAAAAGATGTCAATAATAAGATAGAGAATGAACTGACCCGAACCTTAAAAAAGCTCAGAGATCAACAAATGATTGCAAAAGATGTATACGAAACAATTAAGCCAATAGGTACACATTTACCTAGGTTATACGGACTGCCAAAGATACATAAACCGGATATCCCATTAAGGCCAATTTTGGACATGTATGATTCCCCATATCATACTGTAGCAAAGTGGCTAGTAACTGTTTTGAAACCACTCCATAATCGCCTGGTAAAACATAGTATTAAGGACGTATTCCAATTCGTTGACAGAATTAAAAACATAAACACGAAAGATCAGACGATGATTTCTTTTGACGTAGCATCACTGTTCACAAATGTTCCACTCAGAGAAACTGTAGAATATATTTGTGAACAACTTAGAGAACAGGAACTAGAAACGACAATCCCTGTAGAGATCATCAAAGAATTATTACTAAAATGCACTATGAATGTACATTTCAAATTCAATGGGGAAATCTACAGACAAATAGATGGCGTCGCGATGGGTTCACCCCTGGGTCCCATATTGGCAGACATTTTCCTTTCTAAACTAGAAAACGGCCCACTGGCACAAGAGATCGATAAGTTTCCATTGTACTGTCGATATATGGATGATACATTTATCCTTTGTAACGAGCGTACGGACTTGATAAGAACACTCGAGCAATTCAATACAGCTCACCCGTCCATAAAATTCACATGTGAAAAAGAAAATGGGGGTAAAATAGCCTTCCTAGATGTTCTGCTTACAAGGAGAAAAGATGGATCGCTAAAAAGAAACATAAACAGGAAAATGACCTGGACGGGTCAATATACTAACTTTTTCAGTTTCGTTCCTCTACAACAAAAAAGGAACCTTATCAAGACACTACATCATAGAATCAAGACTATATGCACTGTGGATACGATTGAAGATGAAACAAAGAGATTGTTTACAACCCTGAAAGAAAATGGATATCCAGAGAAATTTATAAATAAAAACTTAGCCAATAAAAGACAGCGTAGAGAATGTCCAACAGTAAATAGAAAGCCTCTATATATACGCTTACAATTCAGAGGAGACGCGCCGAGTGAAATGTTAAGACTTAAGTTAAGTAGATCAATTCAAAGGACTTTCAACGCAGCCAAACTACAACTAGTATTCTCCACACGACCAATAATCACTCCGAGGTTGAAAGATAAATTACCTAGACTAGCCACCTCCTTCTGTATCTATCAATTCAACTGCTCCTGTGGAGCAAGTTATATCGGCAGATGTTCTAGGAATTTGTACATTCGGGCTCGTGAGCACCTACCCGTGTGGTTAAGCAAAGGTGTTGTCAAAACTGTTAACAGCTCCATCTTAGACCATTTAGTCCAAACAGGACATACAGCCAACATGGAGCAATCTTTTGCAATAATCTATCGTGTCAACAGCAGTCTACCTAATTCCGTCAGACTGCGAATCCTACAGACGGCTGAAGCAATTGCTATTCGGATCAAAAAGCCAGAGCTTTGTATCCAAAAGAAGTATGTTCAGCCTCTCCTTTTACCCTGGCCAACTAGCTAATAATCAATCTTATAATGTGGTGACATAATCTGATTAATGTTCATTTTATGTCCCAAACTTATTATTATTATTATTATTACTATTATTGTCTTTACACTTGATAAACCCTTTTTGAGGAATTTATTTAATATCCACCCCTGAACCTACTATATTTGACCTGATTATTTTACATATTACGCAATTTCCGATTTGTAATCACAATATTCTCTCTCTCTCTCTCTTACCCCATGTTGACCATATTTATTCTGATAATTTATCTCACAATTTCATTTTGCTTATAAACCGTTTCAAGTTAACACTTCATATTAGTCAGCCCCAACATTAACGATTTTATTTTTATATAACAAACAATTCCTGATTCACATATTACCATTTCCAAATGATGATGTATTTTGCCTTAAATCTGGCCAATTTTATGGATTATTAATCTGGATTTATAATTGTAGAACCTGATGAGAAATTATTGAAAAGAATATTCTTCGTTCATACAATTGTGTTTTTAGATATATTCTTATCATACGTACGAATCCTCATAGATCGGAAAAACTAACATTGATAAGTTTTCCGCCTTCACAATTAATAAAATTGAAATAAACATTTTATGATGTAAGAAAGTTAGAAAAAAGTGTTGGTTGTGTGTATACCTGCCGCATTATTTTGGTGTATTTTTCTCACGACTGTCGAATGACACTAATAAAGAATTATTTACAATTCGTGTGTTGAAGTGGAAGTTTTCAAAATCATCGTTGAAATGTCGTGTCTATATAAAGGAGCGAACTGCTTCGTTGTATACCCACTAGATTCTAACTTAATGACCTAGAACATGAAGGTTTTTGATTAATTTTAAAAATACTCAATAGTTTAGACATCCTATTGTTAACTAGTAGTATATAATTAAATATCACTTACATAGATTATTTACTTTTTGATCTGTTACTTTTCTTTGGGGTTTTACGGGTGCCTGTTGTTGCTCTTCAGTATTATACTGAACATCCAATTTAGACCGATAAATCAATGATGAATTTGCATCGGTATAAACACTTGAAGAGCCTTGTTTATTGCAATTGATGTCACTAGTGTTATTGTTTAATGAGGCTTCGGAACCAGAAGGACTAGGATGATAATGATGCTGTTGCCCATTATTACCGTTACAAGGGTGCGAAGAAGAAAAAATATCTTCGATAGACACAGCTCGTGTTACTAATGTGGGTGGATCAGATGAGGAATTTTGATCAATGCTATTGTTTGTTATTGATAAATTCCTCTTTGAATTTTCAAAATGTGTTGAAGTGGACATTGTAATGAATGAATTCGTTATACACGTTTGCGCAAGATGTAAATTTTGTTTCAAATCAGATATTTCTCGTTGAGCTAACTGAATATTACGAGATAATTCATTGATTTGTTTGTACAATGCAGATTCACGATCAGCAGCAGCTATTTCGAATTCTCGTTTTTTTATACGTAGTGATTCAGCAACACGAAGAAGTTCAGTTTCTTTGAGCTAAAGATTTTAAAAGAATGTAGGTCAGATGAACTGTCAATGCTAAAATTAAGTAACGGATTTCTATTGGAACAAGTCAAATATGAGGCTTTTCTATTTGTCTACATTATGTTCGACACTAATCTAAATTCGTTACACAACTATGGTTACTCACAATAAAATAGATTCATATGCCTTATCTGCATTAACTTTCTAGCTCCTGAATATTATCGATTCGATTTTATCATCAAACCTCATGGTCAAAATACTTGTTCACATGATGAACTTCTAGACAGACTTTGACCACTGATCAACGTTAAATCAAATGTTATTCGGTTGGAGGCATTGAGAATCTTTAATACGAACGTCAAGACAGTCCTACTGTACGGAGCTGAAACTTCGAGAACTACTACAACCATCAGCAAAAAAGTACAAGTATTTATAAACAATTGTTCAAGCAAGATACATCCGTTGGTCGGATAACATCAGCAACCACCTACTGTGGGAGAGAATAAAGTAGCTTTGAGCTGAAGAGGAAATTAAGAAAAGATGCTGCAAGTGGATATGACATACACTGAGGAAATCATCAAACTGTATCATGAAGCAAGCGCTAACTTGGAATCCTGAAGGGTAACCGGAAAGATGAAGACAAAAAACACACTGGGTCGAGAATTGGAAGCATACATCAAAAGGAGGAATAGCAACCAGAAAGAACTGGAAAAGATTGCCCAGAACAGAGATCGATGAAGAATACTGACGGGAGGGCTCTTCCACGAGGGCTAACAGCCGTAAGTAAGTAATTGGATGAAGTTTACAGGAAACCGTGACCCTAAGTTTCGCACGATCTGTTGCCTTAGAAGACCGATAACTCTCCATGATAAGACTGAAACAATATCAGCCAGGATCACAATCTCAAAATGAAAAATTCAACAACAGAAAGTTATTAGCATTTAAGATCTCGGATTTTACTGAATTAAAATAAACTAATGAAAACATTTGCTGCAGCAGAACTGAATGGAGTTTTCTACGATAGCCCAATTGTGAAAACCACCAATCAAGACGGACTGCCTGAACTCGCCACAGTCATGTATATTTATCAATTCAACTGCTCTTGGGGAAAGAATTATATAAGGCGTGCAATCCGGCAAGTCTGTTATCACATAGCGGAACACCATCAATCTTGGTTGAGCGAAGGACAGGTAAGATTGATCAAGTGCTCTATTCTCGCTCGCTTAGTGGACATGGAAAACTGAGTTGACTTGAATACATATTTTGAGGTTATGAAAAATATCCCATCAAATTTACTGTATGGTTTACAGGTTCGTCTTCTGCATATTGCTGAAGCTATCGGAATCCATGTTTACAAACCTGACCTTTGAATCCAAAAGAAGTTTTTACAACCATTCCTCATAAATTGACCATCTACATAGGAGTGAGTTTTACCCCCTTTGTTTCGAAAATGTTCAAACAATTTTCTAATTTCTTTTGCTTTTGTATGTTTACATAGTCTTAACAACCGTCTCTTTATTCTTACATAACTAATATAATACTGATTTTTCATCAAAATATTTTATTAATTCCTTTTTATATTATGCAATGTAGCAACTGTTTAGTTTTTCGAATAATCACATTAGTTTTTCTTCAAAAACTGAGTATCATTATATGATCAGTACACAATGCAACCACTCGGTGGTTGTACATTATATATATATATATATATATATATATATATATATATATATATATATATATATATATATATATATATATATATATATATATATATATATAATCAATAAGAATCGACATTGCTTTTTGATTGGAAAATTGGGAAACTAAATTATGTACAGGTGATTTTTATTCAGTACCTGGGATTTTTCATACCAATGACAGAGATTTATTTTTATTACTGGATAACGAAAACCATCCTTTTTTCATACACTAAATGATGGGTAGATTCCACATTTGGTCAAACACATGAAAAAAGTGTTAAAGTTACGCAGACCGGAATCGTAAATCAGAGCTGCATGATCGAGTCGAATCAGGAATTGTTTCACCAATATTATACATATTTTAATCTAAAGATTCCTTTGGAAAAGTGAGAGCAGTGTGACCCGCTTCTAGAGCAAAGTTTCTCACAGAATATGATTTAAATGTATAAAAAACCATGAACATACAGCAGTGGAAAGAGTGCTTGGGTCAACAACAACAAAACAGCATTTTTTCTGCTATTTTACTCAAAAACATGTAGAATTGATAACTAAATATGATTTTTCACTGTTAGATGGAAAGAAATCCAGAGAGCATGGTTATCATACACGTATTACTAGGGCTCTAGAGATGAGGAGTAATGTATACATATTTAATCCATCTTTTTCCGTAATAAATAGCACAGAGGTTTAAGTATGAATATATATCAATCCCAGTTATCACACCTCACATCAATCAATACAATGAGAGAGTAAAATGACAAGATCAGAAGAGTAAGAGAAGAAATAGTACCAAGAATTAACGGAAATCTAATGATCAAGGATGTTGGTAAAAAACAAGAAATGATAAGATGGAAGAATCAGTCAGTCAGTCATTTGGCACTATATCATCTAATATAAGCATTGATTATGATAATTAAAAGTATAAAATACCTTTTAAAAAAACAAGGCCAAAGCAAAAACAGAGATTGAATGGAACTGTTTTATGGTGGTTGATACTAAGTCATATCACTCAGTATCTGTGATCATTGGTCACGGGTATCATATGGATCACAACCCACCAATCTACGAACATGATTAACACTAAATGCCAGTGAAATGATAGACTAGTGGAATGCTTTGGTATAGCCTACTAACTGTTTCTTTCAAATTATTCGTACTCATGTTAACAATTCCTGTCGGAGTAGGGGGTAGTTGGACATACTTAATACATTTCTATGATACTTTAATCAGTGAAGATTCACAGTCTCATCAATCAATTGCTCACCTTTACAAGAACACCGTCCCCCTAACCTCGCCATTGTTTACTCGGTCAATGTACTAAACGCGAACAATGTTTCCGAGACATCTATGATGAAATATTTGGGGCTAAAGTATGTCTTCTTTTATAGACCACATTTTACACCTACAGAATAAAACAGACGAAATTTATGCGCACTATATTTCCCCTTCGTTCGTCGATGGACATCTCCCTATATGCGACAAATGATGCAAGTTAACAAAAGTTAGGCTAGCTACTGAATGTGTGCTGGGACTTCATTAAATGTCAATCCAAAACGATTGGTGATACTTCCAGGGTAAATGAAGTCTCGATGCGCTTCATTAATCCACTCCTTATGATCAGTTTCGCCCTGTGAATCCTACACTATCCAACTGCAAAAAGGTTCATCGACTATCTACGTTTAACCATCATTGGGATAAAAGAAAAGCTAGCACCCAGAAGGAACATTCTGTAAGGCAGGTGTCTGTCACCATGTGTTGATAATGGTGATAAAGATTAAAAGGCGCTACCATCTTGGGAGATTTTGATAACTTGAACTTTTTTACATGTTGTACTGTTTATTTTCGTTAACTCTGAATCCAAGTTGAATGATAATAGGTTTCCTATCCAATGTAGCACGTTTAAGCGATTTTTTTACTTTTCCCATATTTCTCAACAAGTTTCTCCAGATACTCGTTGCTTCTAGTCTATTGGTAGTACATATTTCAGTTCTGTGAAATGGAATTTTGATAAGTGCCTTTTTGTAAATAACTGGAAAAAAGCTATTAAAATTCTGATAAACACAATTCAATGTATCTTTTCCGTAAACTGAATGTTGAATCGTACCACCATCCTCCCTGAGTTGTACGACGATATTGAGGAAGTGAAACTTATCATTCTTTTCATGTTCCATAGTAAACTGAATGTTTTTATGGGCGCCGTTGAAAGTTTTAGCAGGTGGTTTGCTGGTTGCTGATGTTTACATGCAGCAAGTATCGTCAAAATACCTCACATAATACACCAATTATATCATTCACCCTTTCAACCTTGATCTTTTCGAGACTAGCCATGAATATATCTGCCAGAGCAGGAACTAAGTGGGCTTCTCATTGTTAAACCATAAGTTTAATGGTATATGATGTTATTTAGCTGAAACTGAACATCTGTGGTATACACAATTAGCAGTCGTTTGAGTTCTGATACTGGTAGAGGTAAGGGGTCAGAATGCTTTCAAATTGTGTCTGTTTCAAGACACGGTATTTGTTAAACAGGAATGTTAAATCAAAATAAACCACTGACTGACCGCCAACATTCATGTGATTGAAACTCAGCAAGTTTTTTTAGCGTACAAGTAGCTAAGCAGTTATGAACTGAATCTAACTATTCTGCTGGCCAGCGTGCAACTTTGTGGTTATATGAATTAATCGTTGACAAAATATTATTTTATTTTATTTTATTTGAACACATGAATATTGGTACAAGAGAGCGCCAATATATATGCGCCACACAAAACAATGAGAATTCGAAGAGAAATAGAAAAAAAAACTAGGGAGCGCAAAAAAAAAGAGAACAATAACGAAGAGATTGGTGTAAGGTAGTGTGGTAGTAACGAGGGAACGGAAAGGTACAATCAGAAGAAATCTTTCAGGTAAGGGAGACACAACCACTTTTTATGAAGAAAGTAAAAGAAGGTTACAGCAGGATCGCCACTGGCTTCTATTCTGAGCCATATCTGATAACGTCTCTAGCCACTGTGTAGCACCATCTCTCGGACCCCAACCAGGGAGTCGTGAAGGACCAACAGAAGCCAGTCCTTTGCAGCTTTCTTTCATACCACGACACCATGTCATGCACTGACCACCTCTCCGCTTCTTCCAACCAGTCCCAGAGTCGGCAAATAATGCACGACGTGGAATTCTCTGGGACGACATTCGTAGAACATGTCCAAGCCACCGAAGTCGGTGTTTCAAGATGGTGACACCAATTGAATTATCATCTCTGTGCCCGAACACACGATGCCGAACCTCTGCATTACTGACATGGTGTTGCCA